TTTTTAGAAAGGAGAGACTAATTCATGGTCTGAGGCCATTACTCTAAAATTTCCTTGAAAGCTCCAGTTAGGAAGTGAAGCATCCACTAAAACAAAGTAGAGTTGAATACTTTAGAGTTGTAATGATGAAAAAAGAAAGTATCTTTGGAAAAGATGACTTTGTATTTATTAATCAGCACAGATGGGTATATTTTTACCTTTAATATTTGTGGTAATGTCATGAAGAGTTTCTTAAGGGTGGAGAGGAGTTAACCAGGATGGAGAGCCATTCTCAAATCATTGTGATTTTGACTGTAAGAAGTGAAGATGTTTGTATTGAAGAAGAGAATAACAGGGGGTCTATCATAATTATCCTAAAATTAAGATCTGTCATGTTAATAATAATGATATTAATAATAATATCTACTCTCTATTGTCACTTCTTTATTAGGTGCTCATTGCACACTATCGCGTGTAATTGCCACAACAACCTGAAACGTTATGTACTATTTTCATCCCCATTTTACAGATGAGGAAATAGAGTTCCAGAGATTGAGAACCTCGTCCCAAGTTCACAATGCTAGTTCGTGGTGGAGTCAGGACCTAAACAAGCTCTGTCTGCTTTTAGAGCCCTTTCTCTCAACCACAACACATAGTCTCTTTGTGAACGAAGGCTTAGGTTGATTCTTATTCCATTCAGCTTCTCAGAACATATCCATGACTAATGGGTAAAAGTTACAGGATGGCATATTTGAGCTCACTATATCTAAATTTAAAGTAACTACATTTATAGTCATCTATTTTCCATGTTAAAGAATGTCGAATTTATTCTCTGGGCAGTAGTAAGCCACAGGAGGGCTTTTAAGTAAGAATGTATTTGATTTGGAGAAGGTAGGGAAAATAAGATATGATTATTATCTTATCATAAGATTGTTGTAATAGTCTAGGCAAAAGATGATGGAATCTGGACTTTCGGCAGAGGATGAGGGGACAGTGTATAGGAAACGTATTTCAGAGACACCTGAGAGGTAGGCAGGAGGGACTGCTGATCAGCTGGATGTGGTGGGTGAGGCCAAGAAAGAGTCAGGGATGCTTCTGAGATTTCAGCTTAGGCAATGGAGTGAGTGCCTAGCGACACTATTAACCCGGATATGTTATAAAGCAGAGACTGATTCAGGGTCCTGGAGGAGAAGTAATGCATTGACCTGCTGAGTTTGAGGTGCCTGTGCCGCATGAAGGCAAAGATACAGTGTGGGCAGTTAGAAATGAGTGTAAAGTTCAAGAGAAAGGTCAGAGCTGGAGATAAAGTTTGAGCCTCTCAAGTCAGAGCTATGGGATGGATGGACACTCCCAATGAGCACGTGGAGCCAGAAGACTGGAGGGCAGAGGAGGACCATTCACAGAGTAGTTGTGTCTCTTCCAACCATTTAGCAGGTGGTTGCTGGTGGAGGAGGACCACAAAGAGAAAATTAGATAATCAAGCTTCAAATCACAAGAGAACACTTTTTTTTGATATTATCTGCTAAATAATGCAATCTATGTGCAGCTGAACATTTCCGGTCTTCTCATACACAAGGCTCCCAATAGGACAGAATCCTTAGAAACTGGTTCCAGGGACCACGATGTAGGTTGGTATTCTTAAGACCTCTCCCCCTCTCCTCCCACTGCTTCCCACCACCCTTTACCCTGGTCATTTGGGAACTGACCCTCTTTTCAAATTATGGTTTGCTAACATTCTTACATTCTCAATAACTTTTCTGTGTTAATACCATACTTGAAGTGTGATAAAATACATTGAGAAGGCATTAGGTTTTTGTAGGGTGTTTTTGTTTTTGTTTATATAGGAGGCTGAAACCATTTCTTTTTCTTTTTATCTTCTTACTCACTTTTCCTCAACTACAGGTAGAATGGTAAAAGGGCCATCTCACATGTTTTCTTCCCTTTTCTATTTCTTGACAATCTGTGTGACCTTATACAAGACACTTCAGCTATCTGGGGGTCAACTCTCCTTATCTTTTACATATAGGAATTGGACTATATTTTCTCTGAAGTCTCTTTCAGCTCAAAAATTTTGTGATTCCATAATTCAAGCTCTGCACATAAATGCCATTTAAATGTCATTGGTTAGATCACCAAAAGGCTAATAATTGTATAATCAAGGATAGATCAAATACCATTGCAATAAGATTCCTCAAAGATTGAAATAGTCCTCTTCAGAGGAATGGAATCAAAAGAATTTTTTTTTTTTTTTCACGAGGTCAAAATCTCCATTCTGGTGTGAGCTCTAATTAAATTAAATCCTGAGAAATTTAGACTGGAAATATAGAAGAACCCCCTCCCTCCCCTGGCTGACTCTAAAGGTTACAAAATAATAGAACATGTTCTTTGGAAAATGTACAGACTTTTAAGAAAGGTGAATAACTCACTTGATGAGAAGGTTGTATCCCTAAGCTACAACTTAAAGTGGGGGAACCTGGCTAGAGTCTATTTTGACAAATAAGGACACAGAGGTTGGCCTGGACATGGTAGGGTGTTGTCCCCAAACAGCTGACAGCATTATCACCTGAGAAATGAACCAGGTCATGGTTGACATGGGAAGCAAATTGTTTAAATAGGAGAATCAATGCTGAGTGACACTCCTGGTAAGAGGGCTAAAGGAAGACCATCAACAGGAAGCCAAATCAAGGCAGTGATGGGGAGAATCAGGGGTAAGTTGAGAAGCAAGGTGTGGGAATATCTGCAGGGAAAGCAGTGCTGGACAAAGGTTGGTACACCACGAGGGCTTTCCTTTGTATGGCCCCAGCCACCTGTCCTGACAGTTTTGAGAAGCCATACAGAGTCAGACTCCAGAAGATAAACTGCTTTTCATGCTCCGGGCACCCTTGGTTTAGGGAGAGGAGACTGCTAAGGAAATGGAAGTCTTTCCTTCCTTGAGGGCTCTAGAAATTAAGCCAATGGTGCATACGGGTGATGTGATGTGTGATATTGAGATGTGCCTGTACATTATGGCATCTGCACTTTCTATGTATTTTGGTGGACTTGGAAACAGAACCTCAGGTCAACCCTGTCTTCCATCCCGTCACTGCCACCCCACCCCCCAACACACCTTGGGTGAGTCATCTCCTTCCAGAACAGTGACAGCCATCACCAAAATTGGGAACTCATTGTGACAAAAGGGCCATTTTCCCAGTTCTCTGGCAACATAATATAAAAGTTCACTGCATCAGGCACATCATCTTAATCACCAGGATCAAAAGAACCTTTATGTGTGACAAGTAGCTGCCTCCTGAGTTAACTTCTTCCTTCTGATTGGCAAGGAGAAGACTGCAAGTCACCAACGCCTGGATGATCACTTCACTGTTTCATTTCTTTAGCGTCTTTTGTATTAAAAGGATATACGAAAGGAAGTCAATGCTCACTCTTAAAATAAAGGTGAGAATGAGCAAGAGTGCCAGGGTTTGGAAGTGAACCCGTGAATGTGTTTCTTTAGTCCTGGTTTATTAAGCACCTATTCTGTGCCTGGCACTGTTCCTTTAGGCACTGGGGGTACAAGAGTGAACACGCAAAGTTTGGCGCTAATTGAGCTTATGGTCCAGTGGATAAACAAATACAGAAATAGAAAAATGTCACACGGTGACAAGTATCATGCAAAGAACCAAGGAGGGGGATGTGATAGAGAGTGACTGGTGGCTGCTTTATTTAGGTGTCTAGAAAGACCTCTCTGAGAAAATGACATTAACCCTGAGGTCTGAATGACAAAAGAGAAGCAGCTACATGCAAGTGTGGGGGTGAGTGGTCCGGGCACAGTACAGATTTGGTGCAAAGGCCCTAAAGCCATCTTGAAATTGGCATGCAAAGCTATAGTTCAGCGATGACAGAGTTGAGAAGTAGATGACTTATCTGAGAAAAATAAAGGACAGATCACATAATTTGGAATTTATTCCAAGTTTATTTATTCTAAGTGGGAAATCATTGGTGGGTTTTAAGCAAGAAAATGATTTTATCCAATGTACCCTTTGAAAAGATCACACTGGCTGATACTTGGAAAATGGGTTGCATAAGGACAGGAGTGTAAGAAAGGATGTCAGTTACTGCTACCACCCACCATGAAAGATCACCATGGCTGGATCAGAGCAGTGGGAATAGAAATGGAGAGAAGTGGATGCATGTGGGATTTATTTTGGAGGTAGATCTAATAGAATTAGTTATTTGTGTGTGGATAGAATGATAGAAAGAAAGCATGATGTGCAATTCCTGGAGTTTGGGTTGAGCAGAATTAGCGTTCAGTTTGAAGTACATGTGTGATGTCAAAAAAGACATCAAGCAAGTACTTGGTTATAAAGTTGGAGCACAAAGGAATGCTCAGTGCTGGCATGTCAGAGACAGTTACTGCTCACTGCATATCCACGTGCTCTGCCATATTTTTGACCACTCTGCATTTTGGTGGAGTTACATGACCAGTTCTGGCCAATGGGCTATGTCACTTTGGACTGAAGCATAGTAAAGGGAATTTGAATTTTTCTATGATCTGTCTGCTACCACAGAGACCAACAATATTCCAGATGGCAAAACTCTTTCAGCCTGGGTCCCCGAGTAGGTTATGTGAAGCAAAGTCATAATTTCCTCTGCTATCCTGTGTTAGTCATACAGGATTAAAGAGAAATAAACTTTCCTGTGTTATGCCACTGAGGTTTGGGGGCTTAATTTGTTACTGTAGCACAACTTAGCTTATACTGACTACTACAGGCAGAGAAATGGATTAAGGTATTGCCCGTAAAAGGATATTCACTGAAATCATGGGAATGGTTATATTCATTTAAGAAAAAAGTGTACATGGAGAGGCAAGAGGAGCCAAGCCTAGAACCCTAATATGCTCTAACACAAAAGTTGTTCAGAAGAGGAAAGGAGGGGTTGTGTGGTGCCTAGGAAGCTAAGAGAAGGTGTAAGAAAAGGATTCTCAGTGTTGAAGTGCTGAGTATTTGCACAGATGGGATGGTTCTGCAGCATGCATAGACGTCACAATGGCAGTTGTATTTTCCCTGGACTATGGGGGTGAGAGACTTAGAATTAAGTCATGACTGGAGCACAACACGCTAAAAATGGGACATTTATAAATAAACTATTTCAAGCCAGCAAGTCACAAAATCGGAGGAATTTTTTTTTTCCTCCCTGGCTTTGAATTCGGGCAGATGCAGACAGGTTGAACTGTCAAGCTTTTTCTGACTCACTCCAGTCTAGGTTAGATGCTCCTCCTTGGGGCTTCTACTGTGTCCACAGGATGCCTCTAAGGCTTGGTATATTGCAATTTAGGTGTCTGTTTTCTCAGATAATAATCTCCTTCAGGACTCTCTCCAGCATTTACAGTGATGTCTGCCACAAAGCAGATTCTCAGTCAGTGTTTGTTCAATGACTAAACAGTCTTGCCTGGCACCTGGCAAGATCACCTTCCACAAACATAAGGTGTTAAGTGTTTCTATTAACATCACATGACCAAAGGAAGTCTAACCCTCTTGTTCAGATTCTTTACACATCATAGTCTATCAACAAGTACTTACTGAGTGACTGCTGGGTAGCAAAAGTTGTGGGACTGGAGGAAAAAAAGGAAATATCTGTCTTAGCCTCTAACTTCAAGGAACTAGCAATGCAGTTAAGAGGACTAGGCTAATGGCTATGAAACTGTTAGAGAATGGTAGGAGATGGTGTACAGTTAATTGAAAAGCTGAATGGAGCAGATAATGAGCATTAAAGGAATTTGATAAAGGGAAGACATAGATAAATTTGAAATAAAATGAGATCTAGGAAATTTTTTTAGAGGAAGTGGGACTTTGACGGGAGGTAAGATCTGCAAGGCTGGGGGGAGAGACAAGAAGAGGATCTGAATCAGAGCTCACTGACTGTGAGGGGGCAGTGAGGGGACTCCTAAGACCAGAGCACTGGGCATGTATTGGGCAGTGATGACAGACATTCATGGGAAGCTATGGTGGGGCCAGATTAGGAAGGATCCTAAAAGTCAATGTGGCAGTAACTTATGCTGTTCACTCATTCATTCGATCATTTGATGTTTATTGAGGGCCCATGATATGCCAGGCACTGCTGTCAGTACCGAGTGTGTGTGTGCGTGTGTGGAATCCCTGCCCTCATGGGGCTTATATTCTTGATAAGAGGATGGATGATAAACATGGAAACAACTACATAGCAAAATATCAGATTGTGATAAATGCTATGAAAAAACTAAGACAAGGAGATACAGAGAGATGGAACATGCTATTTTCTCTAAGGGAAAGTCAGGGAAGGTTTATCTGTGGAGCTGATGTTTATGAATGGACTCACATAAAGTGACCAGTTGAAGACAATTGTAGGTTTCTGGGAATCAAAGCGATATGACCGGGTATTTCAGGAAAATGATGAGAAATATGGAGAAAGGTAGTCAATGAGGTAGCAGCAAGAAAAATGGCATAATTCAGAATCTGAGAAGAATATATAGAAAGCTTCAGTTATGAGGGTTTCTTTTATATGTTTTCTTTTCAACATCAAATGTATTGGGTTCCCCCCCTTAGATAATTGAGTATTATAGATGATTAAGAAATAAAACTTTAAAAAAGATCTTCTATTTGTTCCACCCCTCATACCTCACTCATGAACACTGTAGCTTGTGATCCATTGACAACACCATCATTTTCCAGTTGTTTTCTGTCCTTTGTACCCGTGAAGAAACCTGCTGTCCATCAGATAGGCTGGTGTCCTTGGAAAACAGAGAAATGGAATATACAGGCTCTCTTTCTCATCTCATCAAAGTCAGGCCTATGAGAATTGTGTGGCTTTGTTCCCAGTAGAAGAGGATTAAGGTTGCCAAATCTTTGGATAATAACAAGCTCCAATCTACATAACACCTGGTCTTTACAAACCAAGTCATTACGAATGTGATCCAAGTTGTCACTCCAGGGGTTTTATTATTTCCACATTAGTTGGAATGTCTTACATATATGGAAGTTGCCTGCCCATGTTCTCTTATGCGTGTGGATGGAGTGATTGCCTCTCCTTTGTTTGCTTTGGTTTGGTAACGTTAGAGAGTAGTGGGGAAGAAGGGATCATTGTACTCCAGATCTCCTGGTCAGTAACTATTATTGGAGGATGAGCATTAGAATAAAGAACTTAGATAACACTGGGCATTGCAGAGGGAGTGGGAATTTCTAGGACAGGGATCAGAAGAAAATCCCCCAGAGCTGGTCAAATGGGGGCTCATCACTGTTCATCGTCACCACAATGCTATTTTGACAAGAAGACAGAGCTAAGATCCAGTGGCTAAGATAAAGAATTTAGGATTCTGGATCTTGAGGTACACAACTGGATGGTCAGACCTGGGGAGCAGTGGGAAGGCGGAAGTGGAAATGAAGGGATGAACCAGGCCTCCCAAGCATCCACCAGACTCATCTGGTTCTCTCCCTTTCCATTAAGCCACCAGCACCTCTTGCCTGGATCACGGGTTTCCCTCTGACATTTTTGCCATTTTCTTGGTTTCTGCACAGCACCAGGGTGATCTTCAGAAATCTAAATCAGATCCTATTGCTCAGAGAGTTGAAACCACCCACTGGCTCACAAGGACTTGTCCCTCTGACTCCTGCCTGTCTTTCTTACCCTGCCTCGTGGCTGTCTTCCCCGGCTCACCGCTCTCTGACTACGTTGGCCCCCGGTGGATTCCTTATGTGCCAAGCTCTCCCAGCCACAGGCTCTTTGGCCATATATCCATCTTCTCCCCCTTTCTTGGCTGATGCCTACTTATATGATATGAAACGTATCTCAGTAGTTAAAAATGCACACGCCAGTGCCAGACTGCCTGGCCAAATTTCTAGCTTTTCTACTTACCATCTGTGTGACTTTGAATAAGTTGCTTAAACTCTTTATTCCTCAGTTGTCAAATGGAGTTGATAACAGTGCCTGCCTTGTGAGGTGGTTATGAGGATGAAGTCACGTGTGTAAAGGATTTAGCCCAATGCCTAATATCTAGAAAAATCTCAGTCAGTGTTACTTCTCATCATCTTTGGGTCTCAGCCTAAATATCTGAGAGATCTTGCCTGACTCTGGCCCTTCGTTTCCATTCCCCTCTCCTGCATTCCTTTTTCAAATAACTCATTTTTTTCTTTTCTTTTCATTCTATGTTTATAATCATTTGAACACCTCTCTGTTTATCGTTCCCCATTAGACTATGAACTTCATGAGGGCAAGGACTCTGTCCACTATATCACTGAATAACCAACACCAAGTGCAGTGCCAGGCACAAAGTAGCCACTCAACAAATATGTTGCTGAGTGAACGGCTGAGGCTGATGGTTCAGGACTAAGTTTGTGAGAGCTGCTGAGAGTCTGCTGGGAAAGTATTGGCGCCTCACAGGGACTGAGCTGGCCAGAAGCCAACTGAGTTCCACTACACTACTTTTAAGACATTATCTTTATGTTGTATTTTAAGATGTTGACACATCAAAATCAAATTACTGGACCAACCTCAAAACTTACATTTATATTTCAGGATTAAATGCTCTTTTTTGGCAGAAAAAAATGTTCAGATCTGCCATAGAATCTCATCCAACCTGGAACTGGCCTGAATGAATTGTGTAAATGAGACAATCATGGTTTTTTCTTCTTACCCCTTCTTCCTTTTTTTGTCCCCCGAAGTGACTGAATATTTGACTCGATTCACTGCTTCAGTGGATGGGCTATTGTAGATCTGGGCGGTGACTTCCTGGTGGCAAGTCCAAGATACTGGATCATGTTTGCATTTCTCACTTCTTTTTTCAATTGGGCTTCATTATCTACATGCCTTCTTTAGCTCTTATTTGTTTAATGCTACTGCTTGTTTATTTCATTTACATAACACTTTCCCATCCAAGCTTGTTAGATTGTATGGAGAACATTGTGCTCAGAAAGAGCAATGACAAACAAACACAGCAGCAACAAAAAAATGAAAATTTAAAGTCCAACAGTACTTGGCTAGCATAGGGTTACTTTCCTTTGCGGTTCCCCTTTGGTTCCCACTAGAGACCTGATCCCGACAGACTTTCTCCCACCCTCTCTCCTCTTCCATGTACTTTTGTTTTGTTCATGCTCATTGCAAGTGCGGTGGTGACTGGGGCCTTTGGCATCTGTTTGTGCAGGGTTATGGGAATTTCTAATCTCTAGCATATTTTCCATCCCTGAAGCATTAATCTATTCCTTACACATAATGATGCTACCTATTTTTGAAGGTTGCCTTCTTCCAAATCCTTTCTTCGTTCATTTATTTTGTAAAATTTTTGTCCTCCTCTTACAGTCTTCATTATCAACACCTCTTTCCCTGCCTGTGTTGCTCTTTTAATGTTTCTAACCTAATCTGGATTTTAAGGGCAGTGCTTTTATTAAGAAGCAAAGCTGATAAGCAACTAATATTATCAGCAAAATATGCATTTAAAACATAAATTGGGAGTTTGAGCTAGAACTGGAAAGAGAAAGTTAGAAGAATGAGTCTTATGCCTGCATTTTCCTTTTACCATTTTTGTATGTAATTGCATGATGTCTGATAAAGTTCAGACATCTGATACACTTTGACTATACTGAAATACTTGTTATTGGCAGTGCCTTAGTAAAAAGTGATTGTTCTGTAGTTTAAAGTGGTCAAATGTACCAATGTTTATTATTCAAGATTCTTTGTATTTTAGAAATTATTTAGATTTCATTCTTATCAATTACTAGTTTTTTATTTTAAGAAGCCCGATATATAGAACATAATTGCCATGTAACTATTATCTCATATCCCAGATTCAAAAACCAGGAGACCAAATATAAACAATACCTCAGAAGAGAAAAATTGTGTCTTAAGAATCAAAGTATTCTAACGAGTATCAAAAGTGATCACTGACATAGAGCAAGGGATTAATGAGAATCGGCATGCAAATGAAATCGGAATGCATGTTGAAATCAAATTGCCAGCCTAAGGAAAAATATACATATCATTGTCTCTGAAGAGTTAGTAACTACTAACATGTCCATAAATGACATACTCACAAGTTGTCCTTGATGTCTTCTTTCCAGATGGATTGCAAACACAAGTCTTTCCACCATATGGACGTATGTGCCTGGGATGTGGCCTGAAAATGCAGCATTGATTCTGGGAAAACTGAAACCTGGGAAGCCTGGGTGTAACAGTCAGGAAAACAGTAATGTTTTTCTTTGGCTGTTGTTCCTAAAGTTACTTAAACGAGACTCATTGGCTATTGATCTGTATATATTGAGATTACAATAAAACATAATGGACCTGTTTCTCTTTCCCCAGACTTACAGAATTGGCATTGTATCTCTGGGGAGTAATAAATCATGTTCTTAGATTTGGGGAAATATTCTGGGATCTGGATGGCAGCTGATTTATTTTTAAGACAGTGATGTCAGAAAGAAAAGCATAGCCCAGGATGTGACTGCAGTGCTCACTGGGAGAATAGTGACTGGTGTTTAAAATATTAAATAAGGCTTTCCTGCTTTCAGAACTCATCCTACAGCAAGCTGGGTTGGAGCCCCTCACCAACGCATACATTTTCCTTTACAATGGCATTTAAATTCTTTTGATTTGTTTTTTTTCCTGTGACAGATCCTAGCTGCTCTATTTATCTCTTTAGTCTGATTTATGCTATGACATCAAGCTTTAATTTTATCATTATTATTTTGCTTCTTTTTAGGCACCCATAGTGTGCCAGGCATTGAATAAAATAGAAAAGATACAATCCCTGCTGTCGCTGGGCTCACACATTTAAAGAGATATGACAGGCAAAATATCCTGTAATTGGCAATAGATAGTCCTCATGCTTTCTTCCCTTCTCCCTTTTGAAGCAACTTCATGTCTCTGAACAAGCCTAAGAAGTTCCCTTGATCAAAGGTGTGGAAAACCAGTAGGGTTTGGAACAAGTGTCAGAGAGTAAGCAAATGACTTTGAGAGCTGTGATTCTGCTCCTCGTCTGCCCACGTGCTCTCTGCTCCGTGCACTCCTGCCTCACCTGGGCGGACTTGGACTCTTCACCTCCTCCACTGCCTGGCATCAGCTACCCGGGAGCCTAGGGCGCTCTTTCCCGCACCTCCCCACCCCCGCGCCCCAGGACTGCAAAACCTTTAAGCAAGAGTCCTCAGAACTAGGGGTTTTTCTGGGCTCGGGTCAGCGTGGGCGGATAGCCGCTGGGAGTCCCTCAACAGGGGGATGTCCAGGCAGGTACGGAGCCAGCTCCCGGCGTTTTCCGGAGTCAAACCAATGTCTCCCTGTCTATCCCACATATCCTGCTAGGATCTTCTTTGTCTTTTTTCCTAGTAACACCGAAGCCCTCTCGTGCCCGGGGACTGCAGAGGAACGCCTTGCCATCCGGACCGTGCGGGATGGCCCAGTGTGTGTGTGCTTTATGGTATGTGTCCGAGTGTTCTCGCGTGCGTGCGTGCTGGGAAGGGTTGTAAACGGGGGCCTAGAGCACCCCCACTCTCTTCCGCTTTTTCTCCCAACACTTCGTGGACCCCTGAGGCGCAACGCGCTCGCCCCTCTCCTCAGCGCTTAGCGGCTGGGGTACCCCGGGCTCAGCTCAGCTGGGGAGTCCCCCTCGCCCAGGCCGCACTTGCACCCCGAAGCTGCAAAGTTGCGGCAAACAGTTGCGGGGAGCCGAGGAGCGGAGGTCGAGGCCAGGCGCCCGCGGCTGCTTGCACCGGGAGCCGGCAGAGCCGAGGGTCGCGCGGCGCGCGCCGAGGCAGGGGAGGAGGCGGAGGCGGGGGAGAGGAGGGGAGGGGAGGGGCGTCGGGGAACAGCTGCCGGGGGAGGCGAGGCGCAAGGTGGCTCCCCGCGGCCCCGCGCCCCGCGGCTCCGGGAACGCACCAGGCAGCCAATGGCTGCGCAGAGGTGTACAGCAGATGGCGTCCGACTGCGCCGTTCCTTCCTCCTCCTCCTCCTCCTCCTTCAGTGCTGAGGAGCCAGAGTCGCCGCCGGGTTGCCAGACGCTGGAATGGGTGGTCTCCCGACACACACCACCATCTTTCTTGCGCTCGGGAAGCTCGGGGCTTGGCGGCTCCCAGAGGCTACGGCAGCAGCTCCGGCGAGGCGGGTGAGTGCGGCCGCGCTGAGCCGCGAGCGGGGGATGCCGGGCCCCCTGGCCGGCCGGCGAGGGCGCGAGGTGGCGAGGGCCCCCCGGGGCTGGGGGCGCGCCTCGGGCACAGACTTTGCTCTTTCCTGGCCGGGCAGCCTCCGGCGCCCCTGCTCACAGCCAGACGCGAGAACTTGGAAGCGGAGCTTCTCGGACGCCTCTGGCTTGGGGCTGCGGGAAGCGTAGGCTGCCCGGGGCGCAGTGTGCGGAGACCCTCCGGGCGGGCGGGGGACACCCCACGCGGCGACTTGGGAATCTACCTCAGGCAGCCAGACTGAGCCATGGGGGCGGCAGGAGCGCCCTTCCTTCCACCTCCAGCTTGCTTTGCGGGGTACTGATGAAGGGAGGCAGGGGTCCCCCATCCTGCGCGGGGAGTCTCGGAGGAGCCCGAGACCGGAGGGCGGGGAGTTCTGCGGGCTTTGCAAACAGGTTGACTGGGGGGTCTCTTTCGGTAGCGCTGATTGCGAGATCTGCGCGTGGGCGTCCAGTGCCCGTGGAGGATAGCTGAACAAGCCAAGAAGTTTTGCAGCTTCCTCTGATTTATCAGTGAAGTGTCAGGAGGTTGCAGCAACAGTTTAAATTTTCATTGCCCCTGAGGAGGGCGAGGGGCGAGCTGGGAAGAATGGGACTCGAGGGTCGGACATGACATCCGGCTGTTTATCAAGAGAAAACTGGGAACAGAGCATGAGAGTGAGGGGCAAGGAGGAGAACGCGCGTATTTTCTAAGGCATCACTCGTTGGCACCTGTCACCTTTCCTCTTACACGTCCCTCAGTATTAAAGTTATTTGAATATGCAAATGAACCCTTGCTCTTTGGAAACCGCGTATTTCGAGTTTTTGAAGTTGGAAAACTTGGGGGTTAG